TTTGACACTCCGCATCTAGGAGTGCTCAGAGGCAAGTCCAGCCCCGGGCCGGAGGGGCTGTGCAAAGCAGTGACCAGGCCCACGTGGACAGGGGAGCCCTGAGAAGGAGACTTTTGAGGATAAGGGAGTAGGAACGGGGGGACTTGCTGCCAGGTGAGATCTTTGTCTCTCAGGCTCCCTTATAAAATATGAACAGATTTGTGGTTTATAAATGTAATCTGGGCTCATTCCCCCGCCCCTGATGACTCTCTGGGGTCTTTTTCTCTAGTCGTTTCTTCTTTTCGTTTTTTCCTGTGCTGTGTTCTTCTGTGGAATGTACAGATGATCATCTCCAGGTTTGTTCTCCCAGCGTTTTCTCGTGTTAGGAAACTACTTCATATTTGCATGGTTAACGTTTAATGTTTTAACGTTGGAATACTCTTTTATCACAACACTCTGGTATGGTTGCTGATTTAGCAAATGAGAAATACAGGACACCAGGTTCGATCTGAACTCCAGTAAATAGCACATAGATTTTAAAAAATACATATTTTTATTGATTTCAGGGAAAGGAAGGGAGAGAGAGAGAGAGAGAGAGAGAGAGAGAGAGAGAAATATCAGTAGTGAGAGAGAATCACTGATTGGCTGCCTCCTGCAGGTCCCCAACTGGGGATCGAGCCCACCACCTGGGCCTGTGCCCTGACCAGGAATTAAACCGTGACCTCCTGGTTCAGGCCGAACAACACATAGATTTTTAGTAGCCGGATCTCCCGTGTGGTGCTTCCATTGCAGTATTTGGGACCCCCTTGTTTTTGTCTGCTCATCTGAGATCCGAGTGGACTCTCTCTTCAGTGGTTTATCTTGCAATCCTACCCAACATCACCCTGTGTGCACAGGTCCTGCTGCCGGACACGCAGATGCTCCCAGCGATGCGATGGACAGCTTTGGCACAAAGTTTCCGATTTCAAATTGCGACTTGGGTGTATTTGAGAAGTAGAATTACGGAGGAGCTGAGTCTTTTTCCCAAGACTTTTCGAAGCGATTGCTAAATCACTTTTTAAAAAGGTTACAGCAATTTGGGCTCCCACCAGCGGTGCGTGAGAGCGCTCAGCGCCCGCACCCTCGCCAACAGCCTCCTCACCTGGGCGCTTCTTGCTATTTTGGCGAGCAAATAACGCGGCGTCATCTTCATCTTTGATTGCTAATGAAGTTCACAATTTTTGTTTATTAGGCATCCTGTGTCCTGAATTTTAAGTCTCCTGCAGCCGCACCCGGCCGTCCCTGCCCCTGCTTGGCATTGCTTTGAAGTCGTAAGGAAAATGCCTGAGTTTTATTTATTTATTCATTTTTGCTCAGCCCTGGGGGCTGGGGACCCGGCGCCCAGGCTCAGGTTCGAGGAGGAGGCTGGGCGCCCACCACCAGCTGAGCTGCCAACCTCCCCGTTGTGTGAAGTAAAAGCTTCATTTGACTTCTAAATGCATTTCAAATAAATCAATGCAAAGCCACACACAGTCATGTTGTTTTCTGAGCCTGCAGAATAAAACTTTTCTTTTCACATGTCCGGCCGGCAGGGCTCAGTGTTTGGGGGCAACCGAGGAACCAGGAGGTCAGGGTTCGATTCGCGGTCAGGGCACAGGCCCGGTTTGCGGGCTCCATCCCCAGTGCGGGGTGTGCAGGAGGCAGCCAATCAGTGATTCTCTCTCAGCATTGATCTCTCTCTCTCTCTCTCTCTCTCTCCTTTCCTCTCTGAAATCAATACAAATATATTTTAAAAACAAACAAAAACTTTTCACAGTTCTCCCATTTCTGCTTCCAGTCTGTAATCGGCGTCAAACGCGCTTCCGTGGCTGCTGCATTAGCTGCCCTCGCGCCGCCGTGGGGCCACATGGCGGGAAAGCTTCAAGGTGCCCGGTGTTTTCTCCCTGAAAAGCCTGGCGCCGGGGATGGGCCCATCGCAGAGAGCGGGAGGCGCCGCTCTGGGCGTGTTACCTGGCCCCTTGCCCCTTGCCCAGCAGGTCCATCGGTTCAGGTTAGAAAAGAGCTGAACTTGCAAGACTCGCTTCTTCTTAGAAGGACTGAACAGTACGGATCCTTCTGGAACATTCCCTCCGGTTAAGTGAAGAGCAGTCTGCCCCGCCCGGCCTTCCGACCTCTGCCTGTGACGGCCGTCTCGGCCCCTCTCCCGGGGCTCCTTTAGTGGCCCCCATCCTTGCTAAGGCCCTTGGGTTGCCTTCTCTCTGACGTCCTCGCCCACCGTGCAGACTTCCCGACCGGCCGCGGGCGCCTCCCGGGCCTTGCTCTATGGAAATCGCTCCCTTATCGTTAGTGTGTCATTTTCTGCACCGCGGCCGCTCCCCGCCGTGGCCTCGCGGGGGTCGCTCAGCACCCAGGCCGCCTGCCCCTCGGGTGAGAACGGCCGCGTCCCCACTCCCGTGCCCTCGGCATCCTCAAGTCCGCTCTGAGCTCTGGCTTTTCTGCTTTGAACTGGGTGTTTCAAGTTCAGTTCATATATCGCTTCTGCTCGGACACAGCTGGCTTGTGACGTAGGTGATTGTAGAGTGCGAGTCGCCGTTGTTTCACATGAAAATGAACGTGAGCCCGTGTGAGGGGCACTGAGGCCAACAGGGGCCTCCTCTTGCTCTAGAAAAGCTCCCCTAGGGGGGCGGGGGCGGAGTCCAGGTCATGGCCAGCTCCCTCCATCAGCGCCGAAGCTGGGCATGATCTATGGCGGCCCTTACCTTTCCTCTCCCTCGGCCAGCGTTCTCTCCGCCTGCAGGGGCGGGACAGCGGGTCCCTGCCTCCGGGGGCCACCAGCAGAGGCCTCGGAGCTCTCAGGACTCTCGCATGTGCCTCCGGATGAGAGGGAAGGATCGAGTGGGGCTGCTAAGCAACGCCTTGTAGCCGTTCACTCTCTCAGAGGGAGCAGCTCAGGGTCACGGCCTATCAGATGGGGCCACAGAGACTGTGGGGTGTTGATGGGCCGTGGTTCCGACGGCCTCGTTATACTTGATCAACATGTGAGGTTATGAAGACCATGACCCCATCTCATAGCGCAGAGAAGTTGCAAAGGCGGCTTCTCTTGAACTGAACGGGAGGCCAAGTATTTATGTATCTTGAGAGTCTGTGGCCCTGGCTGTGTGGCTCAGGTGGCTAGAGCATCATCCATACCTTAGGAGGTTGCAGGTTCAATTCCTGGTCAGGGCACATACCTAGGCTGTGGTTTAATCCCCGGTCGGGGAGCATATGAAAGGAAAACAATCGATGTTTCTCTCTCTCTCTCCCTTCCTTTCTCTCTCTAAAAATCATTAAAAGCATATCCTCCTGTGAGGATTTTAAAAAGTTTATATTCATAAATAGACATTTTGCCATGTCAGAACGCATTCCTCCAGTGGAAAACACATTAGTGAGCTCTTTTTCTGAACCCCAACTTGGAATCTAAACCTCAGCAATTATTATTGTTCACAAATAATTTACATTTCTGGGCAAATGGAAGGCACCATCCTATCATCACTGTATTTGTTCAATTTATGGAATGCACCCGCGGACGACTCGTTGGGAAGCATGTGTGTGTAGTGCAGATGCAGAATGAATTGGAACAAGATTGGACTTCAGCATTTCACTGCAGAGAGTGAATCTCAAATTAATGCAGAAGACATTTAGGCATTCAGATATACTGCTTGTAAAAGTAGAGTTCGTAAAAGAATGCAATTTGGGAACTCATTTAATAAGGCAGAATTAAGGCATGTCTGAAAGTATTTCTCATCCTATAATTTTACTGCACTTGTACTGGTTTAATGGGAGAAAATGTATGTCCTCTGTTTCTTAAAATGTCATTAATTTAGGATGAAATACTGAAGAGCAAGGAAGGCTTTTAAGATGTTGTTAGCCATTGAACCCCAAAGTGTGATACATGGCAGTCAATGGCAATGGGACCACTTAGCTGCCTGCCCACCTGCCAAATAAATCCCCTACAATGCATGCACACAAATGCAGTCATGCACACACCCGCACACACAAACATGCATGGGCCTGCACGCATGAACACATATGTGCACACGTGAGCACATAGGCGCACGCACAAACATGCACAGGCCTGCATGTGTACTCACATGCACAGATAGGTGCGCACACACACATGCACACAGACCTGTACAACAACAACACACACACAGCTACAAATACGCACATGGACACACCTGCACACACAAACATGTGCAAGCATATCCCTGCACACACACACATGCACATTCCTGCACACACGTGCTCAGACCTGCGTGCACACACATGCACATGCACACGCACAGACCTGCACACATACATGTGCACACACACCGCCGCATACATGCTGGCTGCCTCCATCTGCTAACTGCTTCAGCCCCTGGCTTCTCCGGGTCTTGATTTTGTTTGTCGGTTTCCTTTTTCCTCCTCCTTTTCCTTCCCCCCAGCCCTGTCCACCCTGAGAGATTCCCGTCGCCACTTTACGTTCTGCGGAGCCCACGCTCCTCACATTCCTCTCGTGGAGGAGAGCGGGGCCGTAATTCATTGTGAGCGGGAGGGGTTGCCTCCGAGGGGGCGCCGGCGGGACTTGGGGAAGGAAAGGCCTCCGTGTGCCCGGCCCCAGGTCAAGGGCTCGCACACATCTGCGGTCAGGGCAGCCGTGACCAAGAGCACAGGCAGAGGAGGTGGTGGTTGCAGTCCTGTCTCTAACTTCTGTCTGTTTAATACAAAAATACTTAAAGCTTGTTTTTCCAGCCTGGACCACCCCTGGTCAGGAAGCATTAATTTAATGCAGCGAGAGAGAAAGGAATAGAGGGGGGGAGAAAAAGAAAAGAAAGATTGTGAGGGTGGAGTGACCACTCGCCTTCTGGTGGCCGCCAGGGGTGGCAGATGTGGCGGCTTCACGCTGCCGGTTCCAGCCCAGACTCCTGGTTGATACCCCCTTTTCCCAAGGGTGTGTTCTCCCCGCTACCCCCCACCCTGCCCCCCGCCCCGTCTAACTGTGTCTTCTGATTCCTCTGCAGGGAAACTTCGTGGCTTGCATGACCGCGATTTTGCGGCAGATGGAAGATTATCATTATGCCCATTTGATCACGACTTTCGGGAAGATGAGGACGGACGTGGTGGTGAGTGTCACTTGGACCCTGTCCCATCCCCGTGTTTGGGGGCCAGCATTTTGGGGAAACACGGGGATGGGAAGCATTTGGGGGGAACACTGGAGTCGTTGTTCTAAGTGTGATTCTGCACCGGGGTTTCCCGCGGCTGATTTGAGAAGCCACCTGGGAGGGTCCACCTGAGCCGTGTTCCTAGGATGAGGGTCCTGACACGCAGACCTGCTGCTCGTGTGGGGCGAGGGGTGACTGGGCTGCCCTGTCCGTGTCCCTCATTGGCTTCGGGGTCCTGGAGGTTTGGGGGTGCTGCCCAGGAAGAGGCTCCCGTTCACTCCTCTTCACCCGCTGATTGACTTGCAACAGCAGGAGCCAGAGAGCCTTTCGGCTTAACTTCTCCTCCCTGATCCACTCCATTAGCTGTGATCACGGAGCCCGTCAGCACTTGCTCAGTAAAACTCTAATGCATCCAGACAGGGGACTCGCCACGGAGCGGAAGTGATCGCTCAGGAGCTCCCTCCCTAACGACCGCATCCCAGGGCCTCAGGCTGGAGTCCCCCCGACACCCCAGGGCCTCAGGCAGGTGTCCTGGGTGGCCCAGGTGCCGTCTCTCACTTGGGAAGTGGGGAGTGAGAGTGCTTATGGGCGCGGTGATAGGGAGAATGTCAGCCGGGGCCTGTCAGGCTGGGACAGTGGTCGGCAAACTGTGGCTCTCGAGCCACATGCGGCTCTTTGGCCCCTTGAGTGTGGCTCTTCCACAAAATACCACGTGCGGGCGCGCACGTACAGTGCAGTTGAAACACGTACAGTGCTGTGGCTCTTCCACAAAATACCGACTTTTGCACACGGGCCACGAAGTTTCAATTGCACTGTATGTGTTGCGCAAAAGTCGGTATTTTGTGGAAGAGCCACACTCAAGGGGCCAAAGAGCCCCATGTGCCTCACGAGCCGCAGTTTGCTGATCACTGGGTTGGGAGACATCCTGCCAGTGGCTTCCTGCTCGGAGGCTGGAGTTCCACTCGAAGCAGCCCCCCAGCTGATTCCAATCCTGTGAGAGCGTCGGAGTGGGAGCAGGCGCCTCGGGCTGAGCACCTGCTCCTGTGTTCCTGTGACCATCCGTGTGAACCAGTGGTTCCCAACCTTTTCTTGGCCACGCCCCACCTAAGCCTCTAAAATCCTGAAGCCCCCCTTCCTCCGTGACATAGAATTCTTATCATTCAAAAAGTGAACCCCTATTCACGGGGAGGCAGCCTAAAGGGCCATGAACTTGGTCTACACAAGCTTCCAAAGAACACGGCAGCCGTGAAAGAGAAAAATAAAAGCACGAAAGGACAGTGGACGTCCTGAGGAAGAAACCACTAAGAAATTGTGAAAAAAATAATAATGTGAAGTGGTATGGAAACATAGGAAATAAAGTTTCAAACACATAATAGAGAACTGAAATGCATGCATATGTCACAATATATATTTATAGACTGTATATGAGGCCCCTAGAGCCATAAGAAATGCACAAAGTTCACTGTGAATAACTCATTCTCGAATTGCCCCCCTGAACAATCCAGTTGCCCCCCTGTGGGGCGTGCGCCCCACGCTGGGAACCACTGGTGTAAACGAAGCTTAATGAAGGCTCACTCCACCGGACAGTGGGCCTGGGGTGCAGGACCCTGGCAGGGAGGTCACTCTCGGACACTGGCCCTGTCAGCGCCGTGGCGGGAAGGACGGGGCGAGGCAGGCACGTCCTGCTCTAGGGTCCCCGCAGGCCGGTGGAGACGCGCCCGGGACGCA